ACGGGTGCACTGGACAATCAATCAGCAGGAACTATCCTCCATTAATATATGGTAGAGTTTTGTGTACTTTTCTCCATTTCAAATTTCCTGCAAAGAGAGTGAAAGTAGGACGGTCATTTTTGTCTTTACACATTTATTATTTATTTCACATAAAAATAGCAATATCAAGATTTGAACCCGGGTCTTTTCAAACAAAGATAACAATAACAACCAGTTACACTAAACAAATTTATTGCATCCTTTTTTATACAAAAAATAGACAAAGTTAATCTCTGAAAATCAGAGGACTTTTTAATCATAATTAGCAAGCTCACTAAGTCTATCGTATATATTTTTATCGAGCTTGATACTTCTATTTTCATAGTAGAGATTTTTCAATTTTAAATTCCCGCTCTCTCCTTAATTTTTGCTAAAGGTAAATGGGTAATTGGCTAACATGGAAGAAACTAATTATGTAACTACGTGTTGTATCCTTGCATTTTTCAATTTAATTTAAATTTTTTGTTTTTTTTATCTTTGTTCTTTTCTCTTTCTAACTTCCTCCGAAATTTCATCCATCGTGCAATAGTTTGCGCCTATCACTTCCCAGTACAAGGCTGTCATTGAAAATCAATCTTCAGATATCTCTTGGCACTACGGTTTTATTGTTGGGATTTTAAGCTGGGCGAGTAGAAGATTTCAACTCCGATATCAATTCATGGCGAATAGAATGGAGTTCATCAATAACTGAAGTTGTAGAAGGAGGATTAGAAATAGAATTTTTGGTTGAATATATGCCTCTTGAGATAGAAATTTGGTTGTACAACGGAGAGTGGTGGCTATTGGATCTTTAGGTTTATGGTTTTTGCAACTGTCACAACCTATTTCTATCTTAAAACGAGGAATCATTGATTGATTGTTTGAAATAGGTCGCTTCTTTATTCAACCTACTGGAACTAATAGATAAGGAGTGTCTAATTTTGCGCCTTATTACTTTGATCGAGTCTATTCGTATATTGGAGATAACCCTGATTTTTTCATTTGCTCTCAAGTTGCGATGGTCCCCTCTTAGCTGAGTTTTTAGTATATAGATGACTTGAATCAACAACTCTCCATTTCTTTTTGATTAGTGACATATTGTTTCTAAAAGGAGAGCATTGAACCCTTTATATAGGATTGTGAGGTTTAAGATTTAGTTTCAAACTATCTATGGGGTGTGTGAGAATTTCAGTGAGCTTTTATACTCTATATTTCTTGACTGTAAAAAAAACTAACCAATAGCATTTTAACAGGGACTTAATTAGCATTATGAAAATTGGGTCAATTATACATTTTTATATTTTATATTCTTAAATGATTATGATATTTCTCTGAATGTTCGACCTATATATTATTTCTTTATGTATCATCTCGATCGAATGATTATCAATAAGATTAAACGTGTTAATAGACTTAAAAGTAATATAAAAATAAAAATAATCAAATATGAGTATTCCGGCCAAAGGGCCGGGTTATAAACTAGTAAAAAAAAATAACATGTAAGGCAGGACAATAAGAAGCATCCACATAGTTGAAGGGCTTTAGTTATTCAATACCTTCCCTCCGTGATTACCCTCGCCAGAAACGACCCCATGCCATAATCTCTCCACCCACCTTTCCTACGTCGTTCCACTGCACACCTTCCCCTGATCAGAGACAAAGTGAGAAGCGATACTCTCCATCGTTCCAACTGCTCAGAAACGATCCTATAATCTTCCGCCCACCTTTCCTCTCTCATTCCTCTGCATATTTCCCTCCATCATTCCCTAACCAGAAATGGTATGAGAAGCGCCAGCCGGAACAAACAAAATTGAAAATGGCCAGCAGGAACCATAATGCATTTGCTGCAAGTCCTAACTGACACCTTCTGAACCATATAACAACTTGTTTCTTCTTCCTTGTCATGCCTGCAGCTTAGAAGCTTTAATAAGTCTCATACTGAATAATAAACAGGCATATATTGAATCAAATAATTGTAAGAAATAAATTTCTGTTTTGTCATTTAGAGTTAGTATATCAATGGACCTTTAATACTCCCTTCACCAATTTCAATGACCAACTGAATCAACACCCATCACCATTCAAGACAAATTAGAAGCACAACAATTATGTTCTGTAGAAGCTCTTCTACGGGTTGTTTATGGACCTTTCAGAAAACACATAGATGATGAATATGTAATATTCCTTTCTCTAAGTAATCTCCCCCCGTACTTCTTAGCACTAATACATACGATTAGGCGACCACAACTCAAGCTGGTCAACAAATAATACATGAACAGCAAGAACGACCTGCACACGGATCAAACCAAGACCCCAAATATGATATTTTGTTAAGGTAGAACACCCATAACCATGGTTCAACCAACATCACATAGTCAAATTAAAAGAAGACTTGCAAAATTTAAATTACATGGCTTTGCCTCTTCTGCTAAACCAGCCCTCCCATATTCTTCCCTCTGCCAAGCAAATAATGAACCAAATTCATAAGGTAAGCAAGGACCCAAAAATCTAGAGCTGAAAATCCAGAAAATAAAAAAAGAAGAGTACAGACACGATTAAAAACATAACAGAACCCCAAAAAGAAAAAGGAAAAGCTTGCCTTGAGAGTGGTAGAGGGTCGTGGCTAGCCCTCGTCTCCTCTGCTTCTTCCGGGAATCAAGAACAGTGACAGCTCCTCCATTATCTGCCTATTGTCCGAATCCAAAAACCCAAAAGAAAAATTCTGATCACATAGCAAGAACCAACAAATTCAAAAAAAAACCCAAACAAATTCAAAAACAACTAACATTGGTCGCCGTTGATACTTGTCGGACTTTGGAGGCGGGACATGTTTACTATATCATGCCAATCGTCGTTGATAGCTTTCCGACTTTGAAGGCAAGCCCTGTTTCCGCTAGCATGGCAATCGCCGGCGTCGGCCGACGAAACACCTGATTCTTTCCGATCGGAAAAATCTCATAAATAAAAGATAAGCAGCAATGAGAAGTCAAGGCAAAAAAATCCCAAAAGCCAAAAAGACAGTATGCAAAACGGAAACCGCTCTCACCCGTCACGAGAACCATCACTGGCGCCCTTTGCCAACCTTGTCATCGCACCATCGTCATCATTCACAGGCACACAAAGATGGAGGTGAGCAGGTTTTTCCCTTATTTTTCTTCTTCTCCTGATTCATCCTCTTCCTGCGTCTTCTTCCAATGAGAGAGAGAGAGAGGGACGGATGAAGATTGATGGTGGGTGGGAGGAGTTACGGGAATAATGAAAATGAATGCATGGGAATAATAAAGGCAAGAGAGAGGATGAGAAGGAACAAAGAAAGAGAAGTTAATTATGTTTTTGGTCCTCATTAAAGCCTTGGTTAATGGTTAATTACGAAAGAGCCACCCAGTGGATGTGACTGACTATATGAAACAGTGGCTTTTATACTTGTTATTTGGTGTATGGATCAAGGTTTGTTAGAGGTCCGATTCGAGGGGAATGCGCAGGTGGTAATTGATAAAATTAATCGGGCTGACACAAGAGATAGCCAATTGGGTGTTGTTCTGGAAGAGATTGTTCATTATTTTCATGCTCAGCCTGACTTTAGTGTGCGTTTTGTAGGTCGGGAGAACAATAGGGTAGCTCACTTGGTAGCTAGAAAAGCCCTCTCTTTGTATCCGACTATGAGTCGCTTCTTCGATTTCCAGTCCTGACTGGTTTCCAGGATGTAGTTATCTTCTGTTCTGATCAATATATGATATCTTTTGAAAAAAAAATCAATCCATTAAAACTTGACCCATTTTATTAATTAATTAATTAAAAACACAAGTTACCTCTAATTACTTTTACTGTTACTCACGAAAAACACGGTAAACCCAAGCTCTTTATCGAAAACACTGTTCATAGGTATTTATTGTATTTTTTAATTGTAGTTCTAACCTACGGCCGGATGTATAGTGCACACAAGCATAAAAGGATTTACACACAAAGATGCAGCGAGGTGTACTATTATATTCCCATTCCCATTGCCATGCAACTATAAATATAACTGATTGAGTTTTTACATTTTACATGATCAATTGTGCTTAATCAATTTGTATTACACAAACCTTTCATTAGTTCATAGCGTAAACTTTTATTGTTAACTATAATTTTTACCATGTCAGCATAGCAAAGTCCAATAGTTTAATCAAATGTGATATTTCCATAATTTTATTTTATTATTGGACCACAAATTATGAAAAATTTACGTAACACTATTCTTTAAAAGTTACGTAAATTACAAATATGTTATGTCAAACTTATATAGAGGTAGTTATTTATTATGTATCAAATAATCAAAACATAATGTGCTAAGTCTTCTTAATAATTAAGACATACATAAATCTTATAGATAGTGGATAGTCATTTATTATGTATAAATTAAAAAAAAATATTACATCATGCTTCCGTACATCAATTTTTAATGAAAATGTCAATATTACTAACCAAATGGTTGATCATCTCATTAATTTGCATTATACAAAGGTTCTATAAGGTTAGTTATATTTTACATAATAATTTAATCAAATGCGATACTTTTCTAATTTTAATTCTTATATTACTAATTTGAATTTTCATTATACTATGTCATTAATTTGCATTACGCAAATCCATAAGATAAGCCAACTTTTACATTATAATTTAATCAAATGTGATTTTTTTAATTTGATTTTATTATTAGACCACACAGTACGGAAAATTTAAGTAACACTATTCTGAAAAGTTTCATAAATTATGAATAAATTACATAAAAAAATTTAGAGTGATAATTATTTTTACGTATCATTTAAACAAACATATTACAAAAATCTTACCGCCGCGAAGCGCGGGCCAAAAAACTAGTTTATATTAGAGTGTGGTTTTGTTTTGTACCCGGCCTAACCGAAATGGATAAACAAAAATTCATGACGGATTGACAGGTGTAATGGTATGTATACAATTTCTACACTACATTCCATAGTAATCTTGTCATCGGAACTGTACCAAGAAAAGCATAAGAAGATGAAGAAAAAAACACCACCCACCCACCCACCCCTTGTCTTTCGGATCTCCCACAATAGAATAGAGAAAAGAAGTAGCTACTTTTCCCAAAGGTATCTCTCTTCTCACCCTCCACAAACTCTGCTGAAACTTCTCCTTCCACTCAATGTACGTGTTCCCATTCCCCGCTACTCTTAGTTTTTAACATACCCCACCATCTAACCCATGCATGCACTAAAAAACAAAGCTAAGCCTAGAAAATGGGAATCGGAGGACGGTCTTCACGGCCCCCCGGCAAGCGGAGCTCATCCTCTCCCTCTTCCTACACCTCCACCGTCACGACCATCGCCTTCATCGCATTATGCGTCCTCGGCGCATGGATGCTCACTTCCACCTCCGTGGGGCCTCCACAGACCACCAACCTCCTCGCAAGCAAGGGAGCCACCGTCGTCGTCGAATCCGATACTACTGTGGCCGATCAACAACCCCAAAATGGGAAGAAGCAGTCGTCTGTATTTGAGGACAACCCGGGAGACCTCCCCGCCGATGCCATAAAAAATGATGAGAGCGGAAAGGGATCTAGCAGCGAGGAGAGGGATAAACACACTCAGATTTCGGAGGAGAGCACGATGACGACCGCACAAACTGTCAATCAACAACTCATTTCCCAAGAAACGACACAGAATAACAATAATAAAGAAGCTGCAGTGGAAGCACATATGGCCGAGGAGAAGGCAGTCGAGGCTGAGAAGGTGGCGAATTCGGAGGAGCCTCAGACCATCATAGCGTCAGCAGAAGAAGCTGTTACTGCTGCTGCTGCTGTTATTCCAGATCATAAAAATCAGGGGAGTGCACAAGGCAATCCAGCAGCAGAAGAAGCGAAAGTGCTTGAGGAGAATAAGGTGACGGAGGAAGATCAAGCGCAGAGGATGCAACAGCAACAACAACAAATGCAAGATGCTCAGAAGGTAGAAACGACGCCGCACCACCACCAACAACAACAACAGGAGGAGGAGGTTGGGAATAAGCCGCCGGAGATGATTGCAGCAATGCACAACGAGGTCCAATTGCAGGAGGTGAGCAATAATAATAATAAAGTGCTAGAGGTGGAGAAGAACAAGGTAGAGGTAGAGAATCGTCAAAAGTCCAAGGAGGTGTCGTCGGGAATACCCAAGGAGTCGAAAGAGTCATGGTCAACGCAGGCGAGCGAGTCGGAGAACCAGAAGGAGAGGCGAAAGACAGCGACAATTGGCAGCTCTGTAATGTGACCGCTGGGCCTGACTATATTCCTTGCTTGGACAACGACAAGGCATTGAAAAAACTGACAACTAGAGGTCATTTTGAGCATCGAGAGAGGCATTGCCCCAAGGAACCCCCAACTTGCTTGGTTCCTCTTCCGGATGGGTATAACAAGCCTATCCCTTGGCCAACTAGCAGAGACAAGGTACGTACCTTGTGCATGCAGCTACTCCTGCTAACTCACTTTTTTTTTTTTTTATCTATTATTACCCCTCAAATTCTTTAAAATATAAACTATGACATTTTTTTATTGTACCTATAGTTGTTGTAATTGTGGATTTTGGTAGATATGGTACCACAATGTGCCTCACACGAAATTGGCGCAAGTTAAGGGACATCAAAACTGGGTTAAGGTGACCGGCGAGTTCTTGACATTCCCCGGCGGTGGAACTCAATTCATCCATGGTGCCCTCCATTACATAGATTTCCTGCAACGGGTAAAAAATAAATAGATTGAATTGAAACCAACTTTATATATATATATATTCTTCTTCTCCTCAACTAGAAGCGATTTTTTTTTGCTGGTTTCTTAGGCAGTGCCAAAGATAGGGTGGGGGAAACGCACGAGGGTGATTTTGGATGTTGGTTGCGGAGTTGCCAGCTTCGGTGGGTACATCTTCGAGAGAGATGTTCTTACAATGTCGTTTGCGCCCAAGGATGAACACGAAGCTCAGGTTCAGTTCGCATTGGAGAGAGGCATTCCAGCAATATCTGCCGTGATGGGATCTAAACGTCTACCCTTCCCAAGTGCCGTTTTCGATCTCATTCACTGCGCAAGATGCAGGGTACCTTGGCATAATGAAGGTAATCAATCCATCATCGCTCCTGCTAATTCCCTTGTTCAACTTGATTTTTTGCATTTCGGCAACCACCTCAACTGGCTTGCTTTGCTTTGCTTTTAGGTGGATTGTTGCTTCTCGAATTAAACCGCCTTCTGCGCCCTGGAGGCTACTTTGTCTGGTCAGCAACTCCTGTATACCAAAAGCTGAAGGAGGATGTCGAGATATGGCAAGGTAAACCTAGAAAAACAACACACTTAATCTTAATTTCTTACAACAATCAATCAAGGTTTTTAACTGGGATTGTCCCCCGCCCCAGCAATGTCGGCGTTAACAGTCTCCATGTGCTGGGATCTTGTGACAATCAAGAGAGACAAACTCAACAAGATCAGAGCTGCAATATATCGCAAGCCCACCACCAACGATTGCTATGACCAGAGGAAAAATAATGTTCCTCCAATGTGTCCAAATGACGATGATCCAAACGCTGCATGGTAAAGAAAGATTTTCCGTACAAACGGAGGAAATGCAAAAATGAATGTATAACGTGTTTCAGCTTTCAATGGCTACTCCAGGTCCGTACCATTGCAGGCATGCATGCATAGAGTGCCTTCAGAGCCAAGCATTCGAGGCACTCGATGGCCAGATGACTGGCCGCACAGGTTGCAGAAACCACCTTACTGGCTGAACAGCAGCCAAATGGGGATCTACGGCAAACCAGCACCTCAGGACTTCACAGCAGATTATCAGCACTGGAAAACCGTGGTCACTGTTTCCTACATGAAAGGACTAGGGATCAATTGGGATGGCGTGAGAAATGTAATGGATATGAGAGCTGTGTATGGCGGGTAAGTAGGTAAACGATCAATTAAAAATCAGATAACAAAGTGTATGTCGTTATTAACATCCGCAAATGATACTGAGCTCTTTGAATGGGATCCATCTCTCGGTTGGCTTGTAGCTTCGCAGCAGCTCTCAAGGATATGAAAGTTTGGGTGGTGAACGTGGTTAATGTGGATTCTCCAGACACACTTCCCATCATATTTGAGAGAGGGCTGTTCGGAATCTACCATGACTGGTGTGAATCCTTCAGCACTTACCCTAGGACCTACGATCTCATCCATGCTGATCATCTCCTCTCAAAGTTGAAAACCAGGTTAAACAGTTTTTGCATTTTTTTTCTCTCTCAAACAATTAACGGACAGAAAAAAAGAAGAATCCTGAAACTTGATACATGACTGACTGAATACAAGTTTTTTTTTGCTGCCATGTGCAAATTGGTACCTGTACTAGCAGAAGTTGACAGAGTGTTGAGACCAGGAGGTGTTTTCATCGTTAGGGATGAATCGAGCACAATAGGGGAAGTGGAGAACATACTCAAGTCTCTGCATTGGGAGCTTCATCTTACCAACGCCAATGACAAACAAGTCCTTCTCAGTGCACAGAAAGGCAACTGGCGGCCAGAGACCTTTGCACTTTCGTCATAACCAGCACAATTTGGATGGTGGACAAAGATAAAAGCCAGCCAGCCAGCCAGCCTGCAAGTTTTTGGCACTGGAACACGAAATGGTCATACTAGAACGCGGCTATAGGTAAGATTTAGGGGTAGTTTACAGTAGTACAAAATTTCAACAACCACAACTTGTTTCGGAGCATGCTCTACAGAAATCATAGATACAAGTTACCAGGTCCAGCTCATTCAACAAGATCATTTAATTGTACGTAGATATGTGCACCAGAAAGTTTTAGGAACAAATTAAAGCAAAACAGAGAAACCAGTTCCTCGTAGCTCTGTGGCAATGTGGTCACCATTTACTTTGGAGCATGTCATCCAGCAATCAACTTGGTCATTGGATTGCATAAACGGACAACTAAACTGGCGGATTCAAACTTCCCCATTTCCATTAGCGAACACATTCCAAGAAGAACAATCCAGGGAATACCAAGTTTTACCAGGACTTAACCAGAAGCTGGTAGAGAAAAGACAACTTAATTCACACTGACCTCTTGTGATAAACTAAGCAGTAACGAAAAGACCCATATCAAGTTACTATACAACCATAGTCTGGCCTCCTGCTGGGTATTCCATCAGTCGTTGGCAAGAAGCTTCTGTAATTGACCACTCCTAAGAGACGAGCTAAGATCTGAATACCAAAGTGACATAGTAAGTAAGTAAGTAAGTAAATTGTGCATAAGAATAACAAGTTTTTGTTTAATGGTAATTCAAGAGGTTCAAGTGCACAAACCATCAGAGCCACCGATATGCTTCCCGTTCACAAACACTTGAGGGACAGTTCGACGGCCTACTTCTTCCAGTAGAACGTCCTGAATTTGGGATCCATCATCTGATAGAAACAAAGCACCATTACTGGGTCAGAATTCGTGCTTCCTGTGCATAAACAGATTGACCGGTAGCAAAAACCAATATTACCTCGAAGATCAAGTTCCACGATCAACGGTTTCTCATTTAATTCCTTCAAGATTCGTTTAGCTCTTACAGAAAACCTGGTCAAGATGTACAGCAGGGCAGGATAAATTGCTCTCCATCGTTGCAGAAAGAAAATCATGAATTCCAAATTCAATACCTCAAAATTTAAGTCACAAAACCCTGAATTTGGACGATTTGTTCACCCAGACAAGAGGATGATCAAAATCAGTTGGAAGGAAATGGAAGAAGCAAAGATACAAGAGAGATACATGAGGTGGAAGGACGGCAAGGGAAGAAAGCGCATACATACGGGCAGTAGGATTTGGAGAAGATGACGATCCTGTTGGAGTAGATAACATTCTGTACGAAACCAGAGGCTGAATTGGATGCTTTGGCATCTTCGGCCAAAAGAAGAAGCAGCGGTACCCAACAAAGGAATTGACGAGTCCAAATCATCTCTTCTTCTTCTTCTTCTTCTTCTTCTCTTTGGTTTCGTTGCTCAGTTCTGTGCCTTCTTACAAGAAGGCGCCTGGCAGCCAGTTTGTCACGTTGATGCTTTACGCTGTCTATTTTATTTGTTTGCCGTTTCACTTTTTCATTGGGCCGGGACGAGCCCATTTTTTGAGATTACAACCTAAACAAGTATGGTGGGGCTTGGGCTTTGGGAAAAGGAATAACTTTAGGTTGCATAAATATTGTGTAATTAGATTTGTGCTTTTGATTTTAAGTAGGGGTGGGCAACGGGACGGGACGGGATACCCGTCCCGTTTTAAACGAGTACCCAGTCCCATTTGGAGATCAAAGTCTATCCCATATCTCAAACCCATATGGAAAACGGGTACCCATTACCTGTACGGGACGGATAACGGGTACCCATACTACCTATAAATACTCAAAGTTTAAATGACATTTTACCTAAAGACAATTAGTCAATTACATCCAAAGCATTCATTTCAAAACACAAAATGGTTGCACAAGTAGCAACTTACACCAATTCCTACAACCCAAAGAAGGGATGATGATGAAGATGAAAAGGAATCAAGGAAGGGGAAAGGACCAAATAATAAAACCCAGAAAGAGAACAAGACAGGGACAGACCTTTCCAAATTCCAGAGAAGCTGTGTTACATCCCGACATTTGAAGTTTAGGTTCGGCCGAACAGTTCGATTGACGATTACGTACGAAGAGTTGCAACCGAAAATAATAATAATAATAACATTTACAATCATTTTTATTGTTATTATTCTAATCACCTTATCATCTTTCTCTCGTCCAACAAAAGGGTGAAAGAAAATTAATAAATAAACAATAAATCACCCCCCATCATTAACCCATGAACGTCCCTCTCTCAGTCTCTCCCTCTCCCGAACGGCCACAATAATGAAACCCACCCTCTTCCTTTCTTTTTACCAGCATCACAATTTGCTGTCCCAAAAGCCATAACGAATGACCCATTTCCCTACCCCTACTCTGGCATCGTGTCATTTTCTCGATAGCAGCAATAGCGAGAAGTCCAGCGGCCGTGCCGAGGAGGCGGCCTCCACTCATCCCGTCGCAAGCCCTGTGTTGAAGCCACCATCGACGATAACTTTTCTCTCCTGGCGTTGTAGTGGTAAGGTTCTTGATCTCCTCTGTCCCTAAACTCGATTTAACCCCCATTAAACCAACGCATGTGATCATCGTAGTGCTCCATCGACGGCACCGGCGTACTCGACCGCGATAAACTTTAAAAACTTGGTACCATCTCGTAGAGAGCAATCTCAGGAACACCCCGGTTTCGACGGAATCGAGTTTCGAGGTCGGACGAGGAAGATACGAGCCTCTAAAGCTTGAGACGTGAATCGGATAGTTCAGGTACCATTACTGTCTGTTGGAAAAGTATAAGGACTTAGAGGGTAATTTCATTTCAGTCTGTGAGAAAATGTCCATGTGAGTTCCCCATATTTCCAGTACGAGCAGCTTAGTCCCCGGAGTTTTAAACTTGTTATATTCGATCGAAAATGAGGGTTTTTTTAATTTAAATTAAATAAGAAGAAGGGGTTAATTAAGGTGTAAATTATAGTTAATGATTTTGGTTTAAGTTTTAAGTTATTAGAAGTCAGAATTTGTACTTGAGGGGTAATGGATTTCTTTTGGAAAGTTCATGAGAATTTTTAGGAGATTTATGCAAGAGATTATTTAATTAGTTAGGACGAGTTAAGACCTTTTTAAAGAATTATGGGACTAAGCTAGGAGAACGGAAAGTTTTGGGAAAAAGCGACTAAGGGAAATTTAATCTCGATATATAGGATCAAGGAGGCGATCAAATTAAGGGACCCCACGTCAAAGGAAGTAAAGTATCGGCACTTGAGAGGTGAGTGTAAAGGGGGTAAAATCTCTGTCGAGGTCTTTCAGTTTATGCCTTTTTAATTTAGTTATGTTATTTAATTTTCAAGTAAGCGCGATTATGTGTGTGAGGCATCCCACCGCCTACTTAAGGTGGAGGCACGCATTTGGGTTATGCCGTTTGGACTGACCAATGCTCCAGCCGCCTTCATGGCCTTAATGAATCGAGTCCTCCATGAGTATTTGGACAAGTTTGTCATTGTTTTCATCGACGACATCCTAATCTACTCTCGGAGTCAGGAGTAGCATGAGCAGCATTTGAGGATGGTCCTCCAGAGGTTGAAAGAGGAGAAACTGTATGCCAAGTTCTCCAAGTGTGAGTTTTGGCTAGAAGAAGTCTTGTTTTTGGGGCATGTCATTTCAGGGCGAGGAGTTGAGGTGGATCCCAAGAAGATAGAAGCTGTGACTAATTGGGCGCCACCCAAGAACGTCCCAGAAGTGCGGAGTTTCTTGGGATTGGCTGGTTTTTATCGGCGGTTCGTGGAAGGTTTCTCCAGTATTGCAAGACCCATGACACAGCTATTACAAAAAGGGAAGGCATTCGTTTGGGACGAGAAGTGTCAAGCGGCGTTCGAGTTACTTAAGGAAAAGCTAACCTATGCCCCGGTATTAGCACTACCAACCACCGGTGGGGAGTATTCAATCTATAGTGATGCTTCCTATCAAGGCTTGGGTTGTGTACTGATGCAGAACAAGAAGGTAATCGCCTATGCTTCGAGACAGCTACGACCTCATGAGGTGAACTACCCCACTCATGACTTGGAGTTGGCAGCGGTGGTTTTCGCTTTGAAGTTATGGAGGCATTATCTCTATGGAGAGACTTTCACCGTCTTCACTGATCATAAGAGTCTCCAACACTTGATCGATCAAAAGGAGCTAAATATGAGGCAGAGGAGGTGGATGGAGCTTCTCAGTGACTATGACTGCACAATTAAGTACCACCCCGGGAAGGCTAATGTGGTGGTCGATGCTCTAAGCCGGAAGAAGGAGAGTCCTCTACCCGAGTTGGTCTCGTTGAGGGCCATGAACGTGGAGTTGGAGCTGCAGGAGGCAACAAAGTTGTTAGCAACTCTAAGGATTCGTCCCATGCTACAGGAACGGATCAAGGAGAAGCAAGGTGGTGATGTGGAGTTTGAAAAGTACCGTAAACAGATACGGGAGGGAAAGAACACTAAGTTTGAGCTGGTGGATGGAGTGTTGATGTTACGAGGAAGGCTTTGTGTACCTGATGTCGACAAGTTGAGGGAGGACATACTAGATGAGGCTCATTCTGCTCCCTATGCGATGCATCCCGGGGCAACCAAGATGTATCACACCCTCAAGGAGCATTATTGGTGGCCCGGTATGAAGAAGGGGGTCGCAGCTCACGTTTACCAATGCTTGGAGTGTCAGATGATTAAAGCTAAGCATCAAGCCCCAATCATCGAACACTTACCATTGGAGATTCCGCAATGGACATGGGAGAAGGTCACTATGGACTTTGTATATGGTTTGCCAAGGACCCCGAGGGGAAATGACAGTGTCTGGGTGATTGTTGATCGCTTCTCGAAGGTGGCCCATTTTATACCCATCAGGTTCAAGCCCGGGATGGAGGATTTGGCGAGGTTGTATGTGAGAGAGATTGTAAGGCTACATGGGGTGCCACTTAGTATCGTTTCTGATCGTGATCCTAGCTTCACGTCGCGATTCGGGGTTAGTCTGCAGAAGGCTATGGGTACAAAGGTGCATTTCTCTACTGCATACCATCCTCAAACCGACGGGCAATCCGAGCGGACGATACAGACACTGGAGGATCTTTTGAGGGCTTGTGTTATGACCATGGAGGGAGCTTGGGATGAACATTTACCTCTGCTAGAGTTCGCTTATAATAACCAGTATCACAGTTCGATACAAGCAGCTCCATATGAGGTTCTGTATGGGAGAAAGTGTCGTACTCCGTTGTATTGGGATGTTGAAGGAGTGAGGCAATTAGAGGGCCCCGAGATGATGCAAAAGGTCATGGAGAAGATTAAATTAATTCGTAAGAATTTGAAGGCGGCTCAGGACCGACAGAAGAGTAACCTCGAGAGGCCTGGAGTTCCTCGCCAACATCAGGTGGGAGATAGAGTTTTTCTTAGGGTGTCCCCTTGGAAAGGAGTGATGCGGTTTGGCAAAAAGGGGAAGCTCAGCCCTAGGTACATTGGACCATACGATGTGCTAGAACGTGTGGGACCTTTGGCTTATCGATTAGCCTTACCCCCTAGCCTGTCGAGAATCCACGATGTTTTTCATGTCAGCATGCTAAGGGCGTATCGGTCCAAACCTGGGCACGTGATCAGGCATGAAGCCATCCAGTTGGAGGACGATTTGACATATGAGGAGGTCCCAACCCAGATCGTGGATAGGCAGGAAAAGGAGTTGAGGTGGAAGAAGATTGCCACGGTGAAGGTGTTATGGAGGAACTAGGGTAGCGAGGCTGCAACATGGGAGACGGAGAGTAGCATGAGAGAGAGGTATCCAGAATTGTTTAAGGATGCTTAGACCAGCAGTTGGTGGATACCCTTGTACTTTCACGTTTAGCCCTCGTTTCTCGATACTTCAATAATAGATCCACTGGTTCAGTTCTATTCCATTATAGCTAACACTCCATTTAGACTACAATTTCGAGGTCGAAATTTCATTAGAGGGAGGGAAATGCTATATCCCGGCTAGAGCATTTCCTTCAAATACAGCGTTGCATAGTATACACAATTGTGTTGCATCGTATAAGTAACTATGTTATAGTTCAAATTTCGGGGACGAAATTTTTTGTAAGGGTGGAGGAAATGTTACATCCCGACATTTGAAGTTTAGGTTTGGCCGAACAGTTCGATTGACGATTACGTACGAAGAGTTGCAACCGAAAATAATAATAATAATAACATTTACAATCATTTTTATTGTTATTATTCTAATCACCTTATCATCTTTCTCTCGTCCAACAAAAGGGCGAAAGAAAATTAATAAATAAACAATAAATCACCCCCCATCATTAACCCATGAACGTCCCTCTCTCAGTCTCTCCCTCTCCCAAACGGCCACAATAATGAAACCCACCCTCTTCCTTTCTTTTTACCAGCATCACAATTTGCTGTCCCAAAAGCCATAACGAACGACCCATTTCCCCACCCCTGCTCTGGCATCGTGTCATTTTCTCGATAGCAGCAATAGCGAGAAGTCCAGCGGCCGTGCCGAGGAGGCGGCCTCCACTCATCCCGTCGCAAGCCCAATGTTGAAGACACCAT